CCAAAATGCTTCGCTTATTATTTTGTGCCAATCTCTCTTTGTTTTGCCGATCACGTTTTTGAGGAGTTTGCACAACATTTTGTTGAATGCTTCTGCAAGACCGTTGGCTGGAGCATGATACATAAAAAACTTGTGCCGCTTGATACATAAAAAACTTGTATTTCTTGCAGAGCTCGTCCATGAGTCGGTTGGAGAATTGTTTTTCATTGTCAGTGATGATGTAGCAAGGCACACCATATCGGGAGATGATTTGCTCCTTAATGAAGCGGACGACCTGTTTCCTTCTTGACTTCCTTTAAAGGTACAGCTTCAGCCCATTTAGAGAAATAGTATGTTGCAGCTAGGATGTAGGCTTCTTTGGTAGATGATTTTGGTGTAATTGGTCCCACAACGTCCAATCCCCATGAATCGAATAGCCATGAGGGTGTAATGGCTCTGACAGTTGATGTATGAAGTTGGCGTGGAACTGGCAGGCTGGGCACCTTTTAGCGTGCTCTAGGCAATCCTTCACCATGCTTGGCCAGTAATAGCTCATCCTTTTGAGCTGGAATGCAGCTTTCATCTAGGCTGATGTGCTCCACATATGCTTGAGTGTGCTTTTTCCATGGCTTGATTAGCTTCTTCCTCACCTAAGCATCTTAGAAGTACTCCTTCAAAAGAGCATCGATAGAGGGTTTCTTTGTAGTAGAGGAAGCGAGGTGCTTGTTGACGTATTTCAGAGCGGTGTCTAGGATCATTCGCAAGCTTTCCATGCTCCAAGTAGTCGATCAGTGGCTGTCTTCACTCTTCAGTGTTGACTGGAAGTACAGAAATGTTATTTGTATCATCCAATAGCATTTCATTGACGGGCAGGATCACCCATCTTTTGCAAACTAGCACATCTGTAGCTTTATCTTCTCCTATCGCCATACTTGAGGCTAAGTTAGCGAGAGCGTCTGCCATTTGATTTTCTTTTCTTGGCACATGTTCTAGCGTCATGGCCTCGAACTTTCGGAGCAGTTGAGCTGCTAGCCGGAAGTATAGGACGGGATTATCTTTCCTTACTTCATATTCAGTCAAGAGTTGATTGATTATGAGCTTGGAGTCACCATACACTTCTAGCGTTGTGATTTCCATATCGATCGCCATTTAGAGTTCGATAATTAGTGCTTAGTATTCAGCGACGTTGTTGGAGCATAGATTGCTTAGTCGAAAGGAATAGGGTAGTATTTGTCTTTGTGGTGACATGAATACTACTCCTACCCCTGCTCCGTCTGCTCCTGTGGATCCATTGAAGAACATTGTCCATGTCGGTAAGATGTTAACATAGAACACCTTATGGTCAGGCAAGTCATTTGAGATTTTCCAATCGGCTGGGATTGAATGATCGGCAAGGAAGTCCGCTAAAACTTGTCCCTTGATGGCTTTAGCTGGATTGTAAATGATTTCATATTGATTGAGAAGTGACACCCATTTTGCTAGTCGCCCTATCAAAATTGGCTTACACATGACGTATTTGATTGGGTCAGCTTTGGCAACCAAGTGGATAGTGTAAGCATGCATGTAATGTCTAAGTTTTTGGACAGCAAAGGCTAAGGTAAGGCACATCTTCTCGATTAGGGTGTAGTTGAGCTCAGCCCCAGTGAGGGCTCTACTTAGGTAGTAGAGTGCTCTTTCCTTTTGGTCTTCATTTTCTTGTGTTAAGAGTGCTCAAATGGAACCTTTTTATGCAACAATGTACAGGATGAACGACTTTCCAGGCATGGGAGCTCCTAAGACAGGTGGGCTTGCTATGTACCTTTTTATTTTTTCAAAGGCATTGTGGCAGGCATCATCCAATACGAATGAAGCGTCCTTCTTCATGAGTTAACTGATGGGTTGATAGCGTCCAGCGAGGTTGGAGATGAAGCGTCTGATGAAGTCAAGTCGTCCTTGTAAAATTTTTAGCTCGTGTAGATTCCTTGGCTCTGGCATACTTAGATTAGTCCACTTCAATGCCACAATGCTTGACAACAAAGCCGAGGAACTTCCCAGAGGTGACACCAAGTGCACATTTTAATGGGTTCATCTTGAGGTTGTAGTGTTGTAATCTGTCAAACACATTTTGTAAATCCTTTAAGTGATCAGATCTCTTTTTGGCCTTGACAACTACATCGTTTATGTAACATTCTACGTTTTTGTGCAGCACTTCGTTGAAGATCCTATGCATTGCTCGTTGATATGTAGCTCCAACATTCTTTAAGCCAAAGGGCATTACCTTGTAGCAATGAATACCTTTTAGAGTGCGGAAGGCTATTAATTCCTCGTCTTCAGGAGCCATACGAATTTGATTATACCCAGAGGAGTCATCCATGAATGATTGTGCCTTATGGCCAGTGGTTGCATCCACCATGATTTCGATGATTAGTAAGGGAAAGTCGTCATTCAGGCAAACATCGTTGAGGTTGCGGAAATCTACGTAAACACGTATTTATCTAGATTTCTTAAGGACAATGACAATGTTAGAGATCCATTTAGGGGATTGCACCTCTCAAATGAAGCCTGCTTCAATTAGCTTGTCAATCTCGGCCTCAATTTGTGGGATGAGTTTGGATCGATAGTATCTTTGAGTTTGCTTTACCGATCGCATTCCAGGCTTAATTGCAAGACGATGCACAATGATGGTAGGGTCAAGGCCGGGCATTTCTTTGTAGGTCCAAACAAAGACTTCTTTGTACTCTAAGAGCAATTGGTAATACTCCTCAATCTTGTCCGCACTTAGTGATGCACTTACGAAGATATGCTTTGGTTCCTTGCTTGTGCCTAAGTTGAGCTCCTTGAGATCATCAATCGTGGCTTGCCCCCCATCCTTGAACTATGGTGGCACAACAATGACATCCTCCTCAAGGATTTCTTTTTTTTTTTTTTTTGTTTTCTTGGATTGTGATGTGGAATATGTCTTGGACCTCCTCTTCAGTGTCGTACTCTTGGGCTTGTTGGCAAGAAGATTGGCCAGTGTGGATGATGGTGCTCCTTCTTATTCTACTAGAGCGTCGAGCTTTTCTTCCTTCAACGTTGTCTTCCTCTTTCTAAAAGGCTCATTGGTTTCTTCATGACTTTCCAAGGCCTATCGTCGCGGAGGAAAGCTAGCCGTGTTGCTTCGTTTCTTGGGTTTTGATAACCTTTCGAAAATAGAACTTTAGGGTGTTGGCGTGTTAAGCCTTTTGAAGATAGAGGTTCGGTCTTGGCCACCAATGGAATCAAGTTAGTGAATGATTTTAAACTCAAGTAGTGGGCAAGAGAATTTAAGTGTAAAGATTGCATTACCGTAGATAAACTCTACATAGGTGTATTTATACCGTGGGGGAGAGACATTTTTAAGATAGAATCTTTGTTCTAACTAGGAGAATCCTAAAAGATATCTAGTAAGTAGATATTGCATCCTCTTAGAAGTGTGATTACGTTCGGCGCATGCGTATCCTTAAATTGTAAAGACTCTAAGACTTATAAGATTTGACTGTGTCCATATTCTGATCAAATCGCGTATCTTGCGGAACAAGCATGGTCATCCAATGGAGTCGTTAGACTCCGCTTATTGCCCTGGAGTAGAGTAATGGTGGCACTTTGCTCCATCTGATATAACTCTGATCGGAGATGGTGAGTTCATGATCAAACTTTTGGGGTAACAGTATTCAGATCAGCCTTACTCCGGTCCTGCAAAATCGTGGTTCCACACATAGTTAAAGGCAATTGTGGAACCATGATTTTCTAAGGCTAGAGTAAGGCTGATCCGAATACGGTTACCTTAAAGGTCCAGTTATAAACTCACCAGCTTCGGGCAGAGCTGAATCAGACGAAGCAGTGGTGCCACCATCACCTTGTTTCGAGTAGTAGGCGAAGTCTAGCAACTTCGCTAGATGACCATGTTTGTTCTGCAAGATACGGGATCTAATCCGGATGTGGACACAATCAGATTCTTTAAGTTTTGGAGTTCTTACAATCTAGGAACTGGTGTGCGCTGCAAGTAATCATAACTCCTAAAACGATGTAATATATACTTACAGATATCATCTAGGATGCTCCCGACTTAGAACAAGGATTCTGTAATCAAAAGGTCTCTCTCCTCACTATATAAATACACTCATCTAGGGTTTATCTATAGTATTGCAATCTAGGCACTTGAATTCTCTTGCCCATTATAAACTATTCACTAACTTGATCGTCAGACAGTCTTTGGCCAGCACACACCCCCTCCGGTTCTAGTCTTGCTCACAATTGTACTTTGTTTTGCAAATAGTCGAGTTCGAGCACTTTCTCCACACATAGCAGTGCGCGAATTTGGTTCACAACACTCATGTGTTGAAGTATGGGCTTGATTCTAATGTTTTTGTTCACCTAATTAACATGGTGATTGAAAAGACTCTCAAGAAATTACTTTTACGATTTCAAATATCCTACCATTTGTTATATTGTCTTCCATGGACAATCGAACACGAGTACAAACCTTCATTTCTCCCCAAATTATTCTATCCAAACAGAGAAAGTGTAAGTGCTAAGAACATATGGTATTAGAATCATACGTGTTTAGTTTCAGAAATAATGTAGTACCCGTGTTCAGTTTAATAAATAGTCAGTTTCAGAAGTAGTAAATATTCATTTTAAGAAATAATGATAGTAGTAGTGCTCAGTTAGTGATAGTACTCGTTTCAATTTTCAGAAATAATCAGTGTTTAGTTTAAAAAATAATGTAGTACCAATATTCAGTTTCAGAAATATTCAATTTTAAAAATAGATAATTTCAAAGAAAGTGACTAAGGGAAGGAGAGAGTGTGTGATCCCACGCGTCAAATTTTTATCTTTTTTAAATTCTATTTTTTTATTATAAATTTTTGTTTTTCAGGGCCAATCATGATAAAACCCTTTTTATTGATACTAAAATAACCCTTCCAATTTTACTTTTTTATTCTACATTATAATATCTGTATATAGGCCAATGTGTAAGTTCACATAAAAGGAAAATTCACATATTCACACGAATTTTATTTAATTAAGCCAGTTTATTCATTAGAAATACAACCACATAACTACATTCCTCTCGTCCTATATTTTGGAATAGTCATCCGTATACTGGCCAACTACTAATATATACGTGTGCGCGTGTGTGTTAGATAGCCGCTTTCTTAATACAAAATACCTTTGTTGGGGCAGAAAAATGGTGATGGTGGTTGAATTAGATTGGGGCAATTTATTAACTGCGTTATGTTTTTGTCGCTGCAAAGAGTGACCTCAACCAATTCGGTCATCCTATTATTCTTTTGGCACTTGAGTTTTGGTCTCTTACCTTTGGTACCATTGCGTATGGCCATTACAATATCCCACCGTTTCCTTTTTATCCCCTCCGGTTCCATCTTCGCTTTTGAGAGGATTTCAGAGACATTTTGTTTGTCGGTTATGTACATCTTGATTACTGTTTCAAGGTAATTCATGTCGTCCTGTATCGTGGGAGACCCACATATGCCATGTTTTTCCCACTGTCTTCCCCAAAAGCCCACATTATCGGTTCGATCGAATACGTTCGGCCAAATAATGTCCAACTTGGCTCGTCGATTTCCTATCTGACATATAATATATGATAGAAAAAATCATGATTAAATTTTACAGTAGTTGTAATATTTGCATAGAGGGCGAGCCTTAACGCAATAGATAAGTTGCTCATTCGTGATCATAGGTCACAGGTTTGAATCATCATGGAAACAGTCTTTTTGCAAAGCAAGGATAATGCTGCATAAGAAAGACGTTCCTCTCCCAACTCTCACAAAATGAAGAGCATTGTTGGCTTAGGGTCGCCCTTTGTAAAATTTGCACAAGCGTGCATGATTCTTTGTTGAGTATATGTATATTTGAAATAACCAATATTGACTCTCTGATTATTAATAATATTACCTTCTTAGAATCCAAGGCTGTTTTCTTGCAATATTCTGGATCATGTCCACTCCAGTTTGAAGGCCACAAACCGTGAACCGTAAATAACTTGTCAGGAGGATCCTTACAAGGAGTAGGACGAGAGTTGCAGGCAGCCGGCTGATATTGCTGAGTAAATTGAAAATAATCGAATCCCACCGTGGATGAAGACAATATTAATACAATTAACGAAAAAACTATCGTAACCGTATATATCATCCCCGTAATCCCCATTGAATAATATTTGTTCAAGTGCGAGGCAGATAAATATTACTAATTAGATCGATTTGAAGTAGTAGTGGTGGTAGTGTGGATCAACTAGAGATCAATTAAGCTCTTATATTTATATTACTTAGTTGTAGGCATATGCGTACACGCATGTATAAATAATCAAATTGCTCTAATTGACCATCCATGATCACGTTTATTTGATCACATGTTCTATAAATCTATGGCAATTATTTTCTCCTTCAATATTTCTCTTCAAACTAGTCATGTGCAATGCCCTTAGGTGATAATCTTGGTCACATGTATTTGATCATGTGTTGTGTTTCTAAGTGGATGGGCTAAAGCAACAAAATTCTATTTTCTGATAAATAAATATAAATCTGGCACGTTTCCAGCACACGTGTATCAGATGTTCATATTTCATCAGTCACATTCTCCTGAACCACGTGGTCCTGGAAAATGGAAAGGGATTCGGGAATCGCTTTCATCAAATCCATCAAATCACTCAAATTAATCAATCAATTCGGATTCTTGAAATTTGATTCAATGGTTAAAAAGAAGAAATCTTTTAAAGTTATAATAACTTTAGCTATTGGATCAAATTTCAAAGATTCAGATTGATTGATTAGGTGAATTAAATGAAAGGGATCCGTTTCTTGGAAAATCTCGATAAACAGTCATTGCATCTAATCCAACAGTAGAAAAAGAAAGCTGTTATTTAATATTATTTTCACTTTTTCTCTCTATTTCCTGCCACTACTCTCAGTCAATGTCTCTCTTCGTCGACTGGATGAAGACGAACAAACGATGAAGATTGATGAACGAAACTGACCAATAACGATGATCGAAGAATGGAAAAGGCAAACGAACGACGGAGTATTGGTAATTCACACGTTAAAAGATTATTTACTGCTCTTAGATCAGCTTTAATGGTGACCTAAAATCTAAAAATATTTAGCCCAGAAAATTTAGGTTTTAGCCCAGAAATAGTTTTTCTACTCCAACTCATCTGGCTTAAAATTTTAGCTCCAGATTATCAAAGAATGAATTAAGGCTATTTTTTTTAAATTTACTTTTTAAAAAAAAAAATTATGTAGACTATTCTAAATTAATTTTATGAACATTTTAACCTAAAAATATTTAAATTCCAATAAATTTTGAAAAATCACTAAATTAATACATGAAAATCAAGATAAACCACATAAACTTAATACCAACTACATTTAATAAACCACATAAACTTAAAAAATAAAAAAGACAATTAATAAATCACATAAACTTAAAAAATAAAAAAAAAACAATTAATAAACTACATAAACTTAATAGAATTGAAAACTCATAGACTACATAAACTTAATAATGATATTCACCATCTTGACTTGGTGATGGACTTGGGTGATAGTCTTGAGATGAATCATCATCTTGAAATATACTCCTTGTGGCATTTCTTCGTAAAATTTCCTTTTGCTTACCACGTAAGTATCTTTTCCTCCCTAGAGTGTATTTGTCGAGGTCCTCCATTATCAAATTAGTTTCGTACCTTTCTTGCTCCCTATCCCCTTCTTCCTTCATGGCCAAAAGCATTTGGGCCGATTCTTCTTGCCGACGGCACTGGTTTTCGTTCATTATTGCCATTTGCTAGCAAATTGGGCACGTGTCGGATCTTGGGACTTCCCTTTTCTCTTTGCTTCCTTTTGCTTATCTCTACCCAGGGGCCTTGCAAAAGAAAAAGTTGGGGTCATTTGTTCGACACCTTCATTGTTGGCAAAATTCACACCTTCATTAACATCATTTGGGGGTAGGGCTTCACTATGAAATAGTCTTCCACATTGTTGGTTCGCATTGGTTCCCCACCTCGGACAATCCTTGAGGATGTTCCAAGCATGATGCAACTTAAAAGCTTGATTTTTTGGTGTAGTTCTTGTCTTGTAAATTGCCATTGCTTTGTCACCCTATGCAACAAATACATAAAAATAATTAGTTGCAAAATACTATTATGTACATGACAACTAAAATATCAACAAATAAACTCACAATTTCTAAGGCACCCCTTCCACTAGGCATGTCAACCATGGCTCTCTCCAAGCTTCCCTTCCACAAAGTGCACGCTTTGTTGATAATCTTCCACCGATCATAAACGCCACCAACTTCCCTTCGACCGGCGTTGGAGTTTTCATGGAACTTATCAATGATTTTACCCCACAAAATCTTTCTATTTTGATTGGTGCCGACGGCACCATCTTCGCTAACCGAAATCGATGCCAAACATAAAGCAATATCTTCGTCAAAGGTCCAATTACGACCTCTAACATGCTCTTTTGCCATCTTGAAAATTTTGGAAATGAGAAGAAATGGTAGAAAGAAAAATTGGAAGAATTGTAGGGGAAAAGTGAGTTTTGTGTGGATGTTTGAACAAATACATAGGTATTTATAGAGTTTTTGGTTGAATTTTAAGTTAAATAATTTTTTTTAAATTAATTTAGCCGTTGGATTTAAATTTGGACCGTTAGATCTTTTTTTTTTACCGTTAGATTTGATTATATTCGATCTAAGCCGTTGGATTCAATAAATATATAAATATAAAAAAAAAATTGAACGTGGACCGTTGGATGAAGAAAAGTAGCCGTTGGGCTAAAGTGATGTTGACACGCAAGGGGGACAGCCCCACGTGGGTGGGCTTCGGCTGGAAAGGTCCTTGGCGCGTGTAGCACGTTGGGCGAGTGGGTTTTGGGGTGTGGGCTTCACAGCCCAGATTTCACTCTCATCCGTGGGTCCCACTTGAATTTGTGGGCTAAATTGTGGCTGGTATTTGCCTTCCTTTTGGGTTTTAGGTTTTAGGTTTAGTTTAAGTTTTGCGTTGGAGTGCATTTGTGGGGGGGGGGGGAAGGGAAAATTTAGGTTTTAGGTTACCATTGGAGATGGTCTTATATCCCAAAAATGGATGTTTTGGACTTTTCACTGTTTTAATAATTTTAGCATCTTTTTTTTTTTTAATTCTTTGTTATTTGTTTAACTGAAAATATGATTTTAACCTTTTAAATTCAATTTTCTTCATAAAAAAACTGGACATAATTTTTTTTACTTAAAAAAAGCCTAGTGACTATGATCTGCGTAAGCAAATTTATTAATTACATTCATTCTACTTTACACATTTTACATTTTTCGGGAGCTAAAAATACCCTTGTTGCATGTTTCATTAATACAAGTAATTTTATGCAGATTATAAGGGAAGAGTTAATGATTAATTTACCTACTAATTATTTTTAGGGAGTTTTAATGAAAAGAGTTTGGGCTAAATTTATTTTAACAAAAAATCATCCTATAACTTTATTTTAATGACAAATGGCTCAAATTTTAATGAAAATGACTTAAAATATAATGAAAAGGAAAAAAGTTTAATATAATTAAATAAAGTAATAAAAACTGAAGCACGGACCCTGCACATCCATTACACACATTATTTCTGAAGATGAACGATACTACACTATTTCTGAAATTGAACAATACTACAATGTGGCATCCCGTTATGAGATTTATTGTAGTTTATTCTTAGTAGTAGTGAAATTATGAAAATACCCATGTAATGCCACATAGACCTTCCATGTGGACCTTAATTTTCCTTTCACTTTTTCACTATTATTTTACTATTTCTGAATAATACTTATTTTTTATAAACACATGGCCGCAAACGGAACTCAATCCGAAATTATAACGAATAAGTTATGTTTGAAACTGTGTAAAAATACGTAAGGCAAATCCAAAACTTGAAAATTTCCCTCGTGCAGCGCGCACCCTTGCTGGAATTTTATTGAGTGTCTGAGTAGTCTTTGTGCAGTGGGAAGAGATGCTTTTGTTTCTGGTGAAAATTGAGGTGAATTGCAAGTGGGAGTTAAATAATAGCTTTAATGGATTTTTTTGTTATGTTTTATGTTGATGCTTGCTGATATGAGCATTCTTGCAATGTGAATGCTTGCATGTGTATTCAATTAATTTAGCAGAGGCAAGTGGCATAAAACAATAGTTTGAAGGAAATTTTAACGAAAAGTTTCCGGTATTGTTCACTTTAACGAAAAACTATATTTTTACACTAAAAAGTCAATCTTGGTACTATTTACTCTTTATTTTTTTTCTTATTGTTAAAACTCAAAATTTTCAAACTTTTTTCATTAATTTTTCTTAGTTTTTTTTAATGGTTTTAAAATCCCACTCTAGCCATCAAATCCACCAGATTCATCATTTCACCCAATTAGTTCATCTCCCTTCTCTCACGTCACATCTCTCACTCTCTCCCTTCTCTCTCTCTCTCTCTCTCTCTCTCTCTCTCTCTCTCATTCCGTCTCGGTGAACATCACCACCACCACTCCAAAGCTCCACCAACACCTCCAAAACTCTTCGAAAAATTATCTAGCACCCTTTGCAACTCCTTGGTGGTGCCACACTCGAACGAAAATACGGTTCCTGTTTCGGCGTTTGACGAATTCTGGTGAATTGAAACTTCTCCGACTATGGTAAGCTAAAGATTTCTACCGTCAAGCTCTCCGTTACGATTTCCCACAACCCATTGGCCATGGATTTGAGCTTGCATGCATGAGTCCCCCTCTGTGTAGAAAGTCTCGAGTATGGCAACGACTTTTAAGCCAATTTTTTATCACCTTTGACCAAGTTCGCCCCCCCCCCCCAAGGAGATATAAAAACGTTCCCCTTGTCCTGAGCTTCATTTTGATACGTTTTATGTGAAAACTAGTTGAGAAATGACTCTGTTGTGTTATTTTAGAAATTTTTGACCGAAATCTCGTTCTTGTGCAAACTAGGGGAAATTAAGTTTATTACTTTAATTATTATTACTTTAATGATTAGTGTACTAATTTCCCGCTTAGGAGAGGGTCATCCGAAGGCCTTGTAGACATGTAAATTTTGTTACATACAAATTATGCATCACAAAGTTTTATGTGGCATATGACTCATCACAAATAGACAAGTCATCAAAGACATGCGGCACAAATCAAGCAAAGGAAGTACAAAACCTTC